GCTCCAAGTGCTTTACCTAACCAAGCTTCTGTCGTCTACCTGGTCTCTGAAATCCTTTAAACCACATTCTATTTCTTCAGCATAGTACTGAAATGGTAATCTGGTATGTTAATCATAACACATACATATTACCAGGAAATGGCTGGTTAACATTCTTCCAAAGTCCACTTAGACCTGGGACAAATAACTGAGAAATAATCATGAACTTAGTCATTGAGGGACAACAACATGCAAAAAGCACCTAATTCCAAAGCCAAGGAGAGTTTACATGTTATTAAACATTTGCATAACAATCCAAGAATGTAAACAAGGGACAGTTGAAAAGAATAAAAGCACGAATAGCTACAATATCAGCCCAATTCTAAAGGGACCTTGTACCATGTTCACCATCTAAGTAGTATTTAATTCTAAAATGCAATATAGTGCAGTTCTTGTGGGTAACTAAAATTCAACGCAGATGTGTTTTGTGAGTATAAACATTATCCTAAATTATATATGATTGTTGGAAGAATTTTGCCCTCCACAAGTTTATAACCTTGGATGTAAACATGAGGGAAAATGCTAACTGGGACCCAAGTAGTCAGTACTCCCTTGATAAATCAAGTTAGTGAATCTATTGCCTTTTGATTCCTTACTCTAAAATATTAATTTCTGTTTTGACTTCAGACAAGACATGCTTTTCTTGTTACAACAAAAGTGATGGTCACTGTTAGTTTCTAGAGAATTCATTCAGGAAGCAGCACCCCGTTGCCCCACCGCCCCGCAGTCTGGCTGGACTGGAAGCTAAAGGCCCAGGTGATCAGCTCTCTAAGTCAGTGTATTTGCATGAAGAGTATTACAAGAAGTACACAGAGCACATATCTGGGTTATAAAAGCCCTTTTATAAAGCAATTTTTAAACAAAACAAAGTTTACAAAAGAAAAAAAGATACAGAAAAAGAATAACTTGCTTCATGTCCCAAAAAGAGAGAGAGAGAAAAAAAGAAAACAAAAGGGACAATGCCAACATGCTCAACGATAACGGGTTCTTTTTCTTATTTTTTAATACAAAATACAAGCAAAGGATACATACTTAAAACAGAGCTCAGGAGCAGACACGCAGTCCTGGAAACCCTCCAATAAAAGAAAGCAGGAGTTTGTTTTTCTTTGTCTATGCAGATACGTACAGAGACTGGGATATGTAAAAATTAAGTATCACAAAAGACCATCACACAAGTCTACCAATGCATGTTGCATCTATAATTCACGAACATGGTCAACAAAATCATGTTCACTTCAACCCCATTTCGTTTAAATTAAAAAAAAAAACTTTTAAATAAAGTGGTTACATTCAAACTTGAACTTCCTTAGTACCATGCTGCAGATTTCAGCACTGTTAAGGTATTGCAAGAATGCCCAACTCTCTGGTGTCTGATCGCAACCTAGCGACGTCGCAGTATTGAGAAAGGGATGCCCCAGTCTCAGCCCATGGACTTACAACTAAATACGTTTAAGCAGGTTCCTCTTTTACCCTTCCTGCTCAGAACATATAAGATTAAGGATTAAAATGAAGGAAGACTGGGAATTTTAGAGCTGGCAAAATGAAGTCTGAAAGATGAATCAAGGCAATCAGTTACTGAGAACTTGGCTGCTGCTTAACCTAGAAAGTCTTCAAGTCTTTCCTTAAATCTTGCAGGAATTAGGTGTTTAAGGTTGGCTGCAACATGTTCCTGGTAAATAAACTAGGTAGAGCTCTTATTTACAGATCTTGTAACAAATACTTCTGGAGAAAAAGAAGAATTATTTAATTTCCAGAAGACAAAGGTTTAATTGCCAGACATATACACACACTCACACACACCCACACAATACTTCAGGGGTTTTTATACACGTTATTTAGGGCATAAGCTTAGTACTATACCCCTAATGCCACATCAAAAGAGGGACAACAAAAAACCCCCCAATTTTACCCTCCCCCCAAATCTAGAAAACCCTCCCTTCACCCCTGATGTACAAAGTGTATGCATAACGGTGGCATTCCACCGGCCACACGAAGCATGCTTGGACAGATGTCACCAGTTTAGTCACTCCACTGGCACGGTGATAGGCAGGTTTCAGGGACTTTTCCCGATAGTGGTTAATACACAGTCAGCACCACTGCGAATGTTGTGAATTTGGCTATGAAAAACAGGGTGATTTAGGGACTTAGGGTTTGTTTTGTGTCAAGTTTATCCCAAGACAAAGAGAAGAAAATGGGTTGCAGATTGATAGCTTGATGTCCCAATATTCAAAGTGACTCCTTTTCTAAAAAGCCCAGCTCCAACCACACACAGAAAAGGGTAACTTTCTAACCTCAAGAGCAACCAGATTTTTATCGGATTTTCCCTACGCCGTGGCAAGACATGTGTATCACTCGTTCTGTATAAGTATCCAAGTCTGAAGGCCCCCGAGCCCAGTGCCCAGGCTTCTTCCTTTCAAGACTCCCGAGGTGGCCATCCCTGCTTCTCAGTGCAGCCGCCTGCAAGGTGGGCACAGGAGGATGCCCCCAACGCCCACGCTCTGCAACAGCGACACTGGCCACAGCGTCTTCCGTAAGGCTTTCCCTGTGGCTCCTCCAGGTAGTAACTGCTGCTCTTGCCTTTCTAACACTCCCAAAGCATCTTCTAAACTGGTTGGTTTAAAGAAAAGCACTCTTCCCTTTCCTCAACTAGTACTCCAAAATTCACTTGCTACCCGAATGGCCATGGATAGAGAAAGAAATCTTTGAGGGGAAAAGAAAAAGGGCAATTTAGTTTAGCTGACCAGACATATCCGTAAGTGTGTCAAAAACTTGACTGGATTATCATCTCCAATTCCTCCTGATTAGTTACCTGTAGGAAAATGCTACTTGAGTCAGTACCTAGAATAAGAATCAAATTGAGAATTAAACCTGGGCCAATTGTTACTGTGTGGGGGGAAATCACTATCGAACCTCCCTCGTGGGAAATCAACCATTATTTTTTGAGATGAAAAGATTTCCACTCACTACCTTCCTAAAGGAGGACATACCCATTGAGTTTCCTTTATGGACTCAGTAAGAAGTGGAGATATGAAAGGTTGGGGTTAGAAAGAACAAATCTACCACTACTAAAAGAAGTATCCCTTGGGCCTGCTCCACTGATTCCAATCTGAGGTGGGGAGGGCTAAAAGCAGCAGCAAGGTACAGATTTAATAACATGGAAACTACCCTTGTCAAGTTGTAGGTGTGTTGGGAAATCTAGAAAAAAAAAGTCTTAATAACTAGAATGTAGTGTCAGTCAGCACAGCTGCCGAAATCCATGTTTCGGAGTAACCCTAACAGAGCTAACGTAAGAATTCAGTTAACACAAACGAGCACCTTCAAAGTTAATGTCCCACTTCCTGAGCACTGTAGAACAAGACGGTGAATGCCACTGCCATTTCACCATAGGCACGCCAGAGAAAGAGAGGGAGTTGAGTCAAGGGTGGTGCCAACGGCCAGCCCCTGTCAGCTTACAGCCCGTACCCTTCCCGACACCACCATCAGCCCGACTATTGAGCACCTGCTTCCAGTTGAGACGCCACAGCTACCCTCCTCTTTGCATGCATGATTTGAGGGGAAGACTAGAGTGTTTTAATCAATAAAAAGTGGAGAAAACAAAGGTCATTCAGAGCCTGTCTCACTTGGGGACACAGATCCTTTTGTCCAGTCTATTAGAAATACATAGTACATTTTTCAATATCATGAATTAATTTTTAAAAAAGGGATCCCACACAAAAAGCCCAACCAAATGCACACAAGTAACTTAGAAGACAAGATTACCTCTAAAGTATGTGCCTATATCAGAGATGTTAGTGCAGATTAATATATTAAAGAGACTGTATTACATAAAATACCAAGGCTAAAGTTTTAAAAGATGCCTCCCCCCAATTTTCACAAAACATGATCTAAGAAAATCCCAAATATTACTAGGAATGTAAGACTTAAAGTTATAAACCCCTAAAAATAGAAGTGCATGGTGGAAACACTGATAGGTCTCTTGCTATAAGACCCAAACCTTGTTAAAATTAGATACCTGAACGAACCCACTAAAGCAAACAGAATAATCTTTAGGTAACAATCCAACTTCTACTTATGTTCAAGCTTTGCATTTTTGGCCTAGTACTACAATCTTCAAATTCAATCTTTAACACATAGTGCAACAGTGAAATGACTCTCTGTCACTGGGTGTTATTATTTTTTTTTAATCACAAAGTAAAAATATTAAAGTGTCTTAATAATCAGAGTAAAAATATTCCTTAAATAACCTTTTGTTCTAGGAACACCTGAAAGAAAGCCACATTGCCTGACAGAAAAATATGCTGTAATTGAAAGGAAAAAAAATTGCGTAAGTAAAATATTAAGGAAGCAAACCTAAATAAAAAGGCAGAGGTTAAATTTCACTAATTTTTGAACTTCTTAGCACGCTAAGGCCCCTGACCCTTGCTCCCAGAAGCTTAAGGTGTCAGGATGTGAAGGATCAAACTTACAGATCTATCTCCCGACTGCTTCCATAAGGCATGGAAAGTCTGTTATCAACTGCACACAGGCCTCCCGAATGCATGCTTTCTCTAGCCCTGCTGTACCCCATCAACTCCTGCTTTAAGCAACATGAACAGTAAGCAGGCGCACCAGTTAAAAAAAAAAAAGGCAAACTGAATAGTGTGGGAGCACTGAACACACACCCACAAAACACAGGATGGGAAGTGAAGACAGAGCCAGGAGAAGTCATGTCCTATAGCAGGGCTGGTAGGCACTGGGGGGAGGTATGCAGCGGTGCCCTCCACTGCAGCAGGAAGCCAAGAGATGCCCTTCACACCGTGCCTCCATGAAGACCTGGGGAGGACAGGCATACGAAAAGGAAAATGTTCTATCCTCAAATAAAAACAGCACAGTTCATGGGATCTGAATGCATGCACATTTATGGCATAAAAGAATTTCAATTCTTTGTTTTCATAAAGGAAAAAATCGCAAGTCTTTGTGAATGAGTTTCACATTAACTGGTATTTTATTTGCTTAAAACCTAAACATTGTCAGTTTGAGAAGAAATCCACTGTGATAATATAGACTTGCCATTTAAATTCTAGGTTTGTTCGTTTTTTTTATCCTTGGCAAAATTTTATCCAAGAAACAGGATATACACAGATTTTAAAACATGAACCATTAGAGAATCAAGTAGGAAACTGAGCATGATTTAAGTTTTAGAGGCCCTTGTTTTTTTGTTTTGTTTGTTTTTGTTTTTTAAATTTCTTAAAGACTGTAGCAGGATAAAAGGGTCACTGGCTCTGAATCTCTTTGAGATAACAAGTGATGAAATGAAATAAAAAACAACAAAAAAACAAAAACAAAACAACAACAAAAAAACCCCACAAAAAACCCACACCCTCAAACAAGGTCAGGTAACCTACTCCCTGCCCTGCCCCAAGGTAAAAAATAAACTTGACAATTGATTTTTTAAAAAGTCTAAGTAGAGAAAGAGGCAATCGTTTTGAACCAAAACCCTTCTAATGTTTTTTGATTACTGCTCAACTTGCTACTGTCTAGCAAAAAGCAACATTTCCATAGTGTTCATCTCAAATCTTATTGCTTTACAACTGTGGTATGCCATCCATTAAAAATAAAAAGATGAAGCAGTTGATCCAGTGATTAATTTGACACAGCTTTCATTGAAAAAGCGAGGGAGGAGAGGGTGGTGGCAAAGAAAAGACCAATAGACAAAAAAGTAAATTAAACATACAATGGTTTTCTTAATTAAAAAAATTTTTTTAAAAAAGAGAGAAGATGTTATTTTCAACAAAAGGAAAAAAAGCGTTGAAAGCCCATGAGTCAAGCCATAGCCAAAACCATGTTCTATCTTATGTAGGTTTTCTTTTTTCCCCGTTTTCTTTTTTCCTTTTTTTTGTTTTTTGTTTTTTAAATAAAATCTCTCCCAAACCATCATCACTTTTAATCCTCCCCAGACGGGGCTTCATCTTCAGACCCTTCATCCCCAGACTTCTCGGGCGCGGGGCTGGCAGATGTCTTCTTCTCTGGGGGGCTTTCTGGTTCCTCGTCGTCTTCTTTGGGAGAAGGAGTCTTTTCCTTTGATGCCTTTGAAGCTGTGGGGCGACCCACTTTCCCTTTGCCTTTCACAGGGCTTGGCGTCACTGAGGGAAGAGAAATACCAAATTGGGGAAGGGAAGACAAAGACTTTAATAAAAAATCAACTACAAAACCAAACAATCCACCAGAATAAAAGCTATAAAGACCATTTACTAAAAACCAAGGCGGACACTGGTCTCCAACCCCTCTTTACCAGAACTGCGGTGTCGCGTAAGCGGTTACGCTCATGCTAAAGAAACAGACGCTGCAGACACTGCACATCATCCTAGTGGCTTGTGAAACGGAATGCTGTTTGTGCTTAAAAGTGGGTCAAGAAGAAGAAAGGATATGACAATCTGAGTAGAATCTGAAGCCATCAAATAATCAGACAGTTCTGGGATTCCCAACAATAAGAAATGATGAGTAAAAGGTTTAAAAATCACAAGGTTCCACTTGCTAGAATAAAAAAACAAATCTAACTTTCTGATTTAATGACAAACTAGCTCTGACCAGGGGAACATCGGGCAGAAACCACGGGCCTCGGAGAAAATGACTGCATGTGGTCAGTGTGACTTTATTCCGCTAACACAGAGGCTGGCGCAGTGACCAGAACGCAGAATGAACTGCTGTATGTAGGTGCACGTTTCCACAGTTCCAAGTCTTCACTAGCTGCTGGGATTGGGTTCCTGGTGGGAAAAAGGGCAGGGATAGCTCTGTTGACACAGTGTTCCTAACACCGTGCCTGACACAAATAGGTCATTCCCAAATCTTACTGATGGTTTGGCAGGAGTTGAAGAACAGGGCTAAGCCACCAGGCTCTTGGAGGGATTAGAGTTCTTATTAATAAATAAGCAACACTTCCAGGTGAAGAATACACGGTCCTTTCAGAATCCATGTATTCTTAACTAACTGTGTGGCCAATGCCACTCTCTAATGAAGAATTTCCGTAAAGAAAGTTAATTAGTTCATAAAATTTTTCAAAAGCAGTAATATAACTTCAGTTCTGCAGAACTCACCTGTAGCCTTTAGCCTGGGTTTGGGCATTTTCTTTTCTTTTCTCTCAGGTTTGGACTTCTTAACCATCTTTTTGTTTTTCTTTTTTGAACTGCCATAGTCACTATCATCATCATCTTCCATTAGAAAATCTTCATCACTGCCGGAATCTTCTGAGAGGAAAGAAGAATTTCAACGTCCAACTTAATGTACACATCCTTCTAAGTGAACAAAGGGAGAAAGCACTAAGAATGACTGGAGGATGGGACCTGGGAGCCAAACACTCCTGGATTCTAGCTGCTGCTGTACTGCCCATTTGGTGGGAGTCATCACTGACCCCCACCTGTAAAGTGTGTGTGGGTGTGGGTGTGGGTTAACATGACTAACTTGTTTGAAGAGTAGGTTGAACACAGCAAGGGATAAAACTTAATCTGAATGAAAACTGAAGCTAGCCCTGGCTGGCGTAGCTCAGTGGATTGAGCGCGGGCTGTGAACCAAAGTGTTGCAGGTTCGATTCCCAGTCAGGGCACATGCCTGGGTTGCAGGCCATGACCCCCAGCAACCGCACATTGATGTTTCTTTCTCTTTCTCCCTCCCTTCCCTCTCTAAAAATAAATAAATAAAATCTTAAAAGAGAAAAGAAAAAAGAAAACTGAAGCTATCAAGTAACGTGTGGTACTGATATCATTCCCAAATAATACTGGTGAGACCAGGGAAATAAAACTGAATCGACATCATGTGCTTGGTGCAAACATGAATAAATGAGACAAGAAAATTACATACAAAGCAATAACACATGTAACTAATTAATCTGAATAACCCCTGAAACATCTAAATTCTGTTACTAACACTTTTTGTCGGGAAGAGCTCTACACCCTTCTCCACCAGGCCAGAATACAAATCTTAATCACAATATCCACTGTGTAACTATTGTTCTAACAATCGTTTATTGAGTATTTAAGTACAAATGATGAACAGCATAGTCATGATAATCTTTGAATCTTTTACAATATCAATAGATGTCAAAGCCATCATCTCTTCTAACAATGAGTAATTTAAGGGGCCATTTGTTAACACTTAACACCCCCCTAAAAACTGCCAAAGCAGTCAAGGACACAAACTACAATCAGGATGAAGGCACCAGCCCTGGCTGGTGTGGCTCAGTGGATACAGCACCGAACTGAGAAGCAAAAGGTTGTTGGTTCGATTCCCAGTCAGGGCGCAAGCCTGGGTTGCAAGCCCGGTTCCCAGTAGGAGGCATACGAGAGGCATCCACACATTGATATTTCTCTCCCTCTCTTTCTCCCTACCTTCCTCTCTCTCTCAAAATAAATAAAGCCTTAAAAAAAAAAAAAAAAAAAAAGACTAAGGCACCAGCCAAATGTACGTACTCTCCTGGAATGGTGCCTCATCCTCTTCTTCTGGTTCTTCTTCACTGCCCACATCTTCCATGAGCATCTCTCTCTGTTTAGACGCCGCTTTGGAGGCTGCCTGCCGTTGCTGGCGCACGTTTTTATGATCTTCTTTTTCATCTTCACTGTCCTCTGCAATATCAATGTTATGATGCACTAATCCAAGATTTGTGTTTATTTGACAACTAACCAGAAAAGCCAATGCAATGGCCATTATGAGATATAACCTGCAGCTTTATTTCATTCAAAAAGGATAAAATCTATCCTTAAAAATTCCAACAGAAGAGGAGCTACAATTCAAAGAATGAACTTGAATAAGATTAAGTACCCCACTATTACATACAAAATAACTTATGCATTTAGTTTTAAATAAAAATAAAGCCAAATTTAGGTGTAAACACATGCTTCTTATAACACACTTTAAACTTGTATTTACAATAATGCCAGGCATTACTATTAAACCACATATTTGGCCCTGGATGGTATAGCTCAGTGGATTGAGCACAGGTTGCGAACCAAAGGGTCGCCAGTTCGATTCCCAGTCAGGGCACATGCCTGGGTTGCAGGCCAGGTCCGTGGTGGGGGCCACATGAGAGGCAACCACACACTGATGTTTCCCTCCTTTCCCCCTTCTCTAAAAAATAGATAAAAACTAAAAAAAAAAAGAAGCCTGCATATTAAAATGTCCAATGAATAAATATATAAAGAGAATTACATCTATTACATTAAATATTGTTTATTACCTGCTGAGTGAGAATCATCCTTCTTGGTCTTCACATCTTTTTCTTCTGAGTCTTCACTATAAGGGGAAGGAGTAAAAAAATTTAAGTTATTAGATCAAAATCTAAATGAATGTAGATCCCTGGTATCTGACTGAAGAACACTGAAGAAAACCTTCTTATTCATATAAAATTCAAACAGTGCTGAGGAGTAAAGTTGCTTCCATTATTTCCCTCCTTTATAGGGATGTTGGTGATTAAGCACAATTTTTACTTACTTTTGGAAAATACTGCTTCTAAAAACCCAAAGGTAAAAAAAAGAAGGCATCTCAACACAGGTTGAAAATTTCTCAAAAAACATTTAATAAGGAAAAAAGTTCTTGGTTGTTAAAGGCAGAATATAGAAATACCACCATTGTATAATGTGTCGATGGTGGTAAAATAAGCAAATAAATGGACAGCACCAATATAGTTATTAGAGGAAATTGGAATTCAGTTACATAAATTACATTATGTCTAAAGTTTATCTAAAAAAATAAAAATATTAACTAAATATTTTTTTGCCTCCACTGTTTCTATACATGAGAAACATGAGCACACGGGCCTGCTTGGTATCCTGGAGAAAATGAAAGTGAGCTCTAGATCACTGCAAAATAGAATAAGAAGTTTCAAAGCTCAATGAAAAGTTTCATAAAACAACTTTTAAAGTCTCAAAGATGCATACTTTATGTCCTCACAAATCTTATCTCAGGAATCTGGGTTCTAGTGTCCTGTTTTTGTCATTAGTTTTATGATCTCAGGCAAATCACTTGGTATTCTTCAGTGCTAAAATTTTATGATTTCCTGAGAAATTCTGACAAACAAAAAAACAAAAGTCATACATAAAAATTCTCTTCATAGCTTTTCTTTCTTAAACAGTAGGTCTTGTAAATCTCTTGGTATTTCCATAATCTAGACCACACTCAAATGACAAACTACCAGACCCAAGATTCCTAAGTGAAGAAAAAAAAACAAACATATTTCTTTACTAAGCAATCTGATGCAAGAAACTATAATTCTGAAACTTGTAACTGTTACTTAAAAAAAAAAAAATTTTATTAAAAATTTTATTTATGTTTTAGAGAGGGGGGAAGGGAGGCAGAAAGAGAGGAAGAGAAACTTTGATGTGTGAGAGAAACATTCATTGGTTGCCTCTTGCACGCCCCCAACTGAGAACCTGGCCTGCAACCAAGACATGTGCCCTGACCAGGACAAGACATGTGCCCTGACTGGGAATCGAACCTACAACTGTTCAGTTCTCAGGCCAGTGCTCAATCCACTGAGCCACAGCACCCAGAGCTGTAACTGTTCTATAGAAATGTTTTTATGTAAAATAAGCATTTAATTCACAAGTCTACAACAATAAATTATATGACTTTTCTCAAGTTCTTTTATTATTGAATTTATAGAAACCATTAATCCTTGAGTCCTATTAGAGCAAAGCCAAGTTAATAGCTGAGCTTTTAAAAAACATTTTAAAAAAAGATTTTATTTATTTAGTTTTAGAAAGGGGAAGAGAGGGAGAGAAACACTGATGTGTGAAAGAAACATCGACTGCTTGCCCGTTGCATGTTCCCCAACCAGGGATCTGGCCAGCAACCGAGGCAGGTGCCCTGGCTGAGAATCAAACCAGTAACCTTTTGGTTTGCAAGACGACACTCAACTCATTCAGCCACACCAGTCAGGGCAAAAGCTGAGCTTTTAAGTAGAGACCAATGGAAAAATCAACATAATATGGTCCAAGGGCTAAACATATAATGGCAATAAAAGCTGTATTTACTTCAAGCACTCCTGACACTTTGGAGAGAATAAAAAAACCGAGTGACTACAACAAGAGAAAATTTAGGTTAGGTATCAATTACATCAAGGAGACATTATAACAGCCTACAAGGAAGCTCATTCTTAGAAGAAATATACTTAATATAATAAAATATATTACTGGGCTGCTATATAAAACTGGATTAGAGAGATATACTATGAAACTGTGAAAAATTTGTTTACCCACATTTTTCTGAAATTTTCCAAGAAAGAAAATATTAGATGTTAGCAATACAAGCAAACATAAATATTAGGTTACTGTATATATTTAATATTGTTATATCTGCAAATTTAGCATCCCATAAATTCAGAATGGTAAGACTGCTGCCTGGAGCTTTATTATAGTGATTTTAGTGCTTGCCAGTAAATATCTAGAACTAGTGAGAAATATTGTTCTCTCACTAGTCTAATACTAAAGACTAATATTGGTCTTTGAACTGCAAATACTTAATAGTATTATTTGGAAGTAATATAGCTCAACGGTTAAAAAACAGACTTTGGCCCTGCTGGTATGCCTCAGTGGATTGGATGTTGGCCTGTGAACCAAAGGGTTACCCGTTCAATTCCCAGCCCGGGCACATGCCTGGGTTGTGGGCTGGGTCCCCAGTGGGGGGCACGCAAGAGGCAACCACACACTGATGTTTCTCTCCCTTTCTGTCTCCCTCCTCTTCCCACTCTCTAAAAATTAATAAATACAATCTTTAAAACAAACAAACAAACAACCTAAGGGAAGGCAGATGTCCCTGAATGATCAAATTACCTAAACAAAGGAGAATTGCTTATAGGCAGTAAAACTTGGCAGACTATACACTTAAAATTTTCTAAGCTTTAGTAATGATTCTACCAGTGATTTGTAACTGAATGAGAAAGATCACTCATTCTTTGCTATTACTATAATGAAAATATCAATACTAACATTAGGAAACAAATTACATACTTAAGCAATCTTTCTGCTTATGTTCAAAGGTTTGAGGTGGCAACTAAGGCATTCTTGGAGGTCACCTTGGATTCCAGGCTGAGTCCAAGCAAGCCTCATGACCTTAAAGAGACCAGCCTCTAGTCTCAGAAGCCCTGCCTAAGTCAAGATTAAATATGCACATTAAAGTGGACCATTAGTGCCTTCCCAAAAGAAATGAAGACTCTACTAGTTTAGAGGTCAGAAGCCACCCTCGCCTGACAGTGGCTGACAGTGTGAGCAGGAACAATGTAACAAGGCCTCTTACCTGTCTTCCTGTGAATTCTTTCCAGATCGCCTCTTATTTTTAGCTTCTCGAGGAGATGATCGAATTTTCTTAGCAGGAGGGCCCGAATCTCTTCCATAATCTTCATCTAAACAGCATTTTTCAAAGTCAATAAACTATGTTGTGATTTTAACATGTAGAAATTACCACTGTATTTACTGAAATAATTATCTCTCGTGCTATTCAAATGATGAGGGGCAGGATTTCCCACATAATTTTTTATTTTCACTTAAAAACAAGTTCTCCTGTCCCAGTCCCACCACCTTAACTCAATCATCTCCATTTCTGCATATTACCCTCTAGTCCTCATGTGTATATATTTTAATATATCCATAGCCAAATATCTCTTATCATTTTATATCCTACCTCTTTATTAAATATTTTCCCATGTTCCCTCATCTTCATATTTTAAAACTATTATAGCAATGAGTATATTATTATAAGCATTTTAGAATGTAAAGATCCCACAATTCCTCAATCATAATACAATTTCTGTTATCAAGTAATTCTTTTTAAAGTATCAATTATAGTATACTCTGGCACTTGAGGAAAACACCTCCAATTTCAAAAGACCTATTAAACTCAAGAAAATTACCCTGCCTTAAGGTGATTATTTCTAAAACAGTTTACTACACCATTATACATAATGGTGAGGATCTGGAAGTAGTCTGGAGCTTAAACAATTAATAAGTGTTAGACACATTATAAATTCTATTATGGAATATCTTATTACCATTAATAGGAATTTTTCAAGTAACTTTTTAAAAAAAGATTTTATTTATTTTTAGAAAGAAGGGAAGGGAGGGAGAAAGAGAGGGAGAGAAACATCAATGTGTGAGAGAAATATTGATCAGTTGCCTCTCACATGCCCCTAACTGGGGACCTGGCCTGCAACCCGGACATGTGCCCAGACTGGGAATAGAACTGGTGACCTTTTGGTTCACAGGCCGGCACTCAATCCACTGAGCCACTCCAGCCAGTGCTCAGTAAATTTTTTTTAAAAAAATTGATTTTAAAGACAGAGAGAGGAGAGGGAGAGAGAGGGAGAAAGAGGGAGGGGGGAGAGAGGGGGGGAGGGAGATATCAATTTGTTGTTCCACTTGGTTATGCATTCATTGGTTGATTCTTGTTTGTGCCCTGACTGGGCATCAAACCCACTATGTTGGTGTACCAGGACAATGTTCTAAAAATTGAGTTATCTGGTCAAGCCTCAAGTAACTTCTAATAACATGAGGAAGATACTCATAAGTAGGGATGTGGTGGGAGAGTGACAGAATCCAAAATTCTACAGCAAGGCTTCAACTAGATTTATTTTTTTTTTAAGGGAAAAAAAAGTCAAAAGCTTTTTCAACAAAATGGCTAAAATGTCTATTTGCTGGCTAAGGGATCTTGTGTAATAGCTTTGCCTGTTTCTTTATCTGCAGAATGGAAACAATAATATACATCCTGGATTGTTCTGAGGATTAAAAGAATTAATACTAACATTTAGCAAGCATTTAATAAGTGTTAGTACTCCATCTGGGAGTTTGGATTATTATTTTTATTGTTTTTACTCTCCCTTATATATTTCTGTATTTTCTAAATTCTCCCAAAGTGCATATATTACTTATATAGTAAAATTAGATCTAAAAAAAAAAAAAGAAAGAAAAAAGAATAGTAAATGTACCTGGAAAACAATGAGATTAGAAATAGCATATTCTAGCCCTGGCGGAGTAACTCAGTTGGGTAGCTCAGCTAGTTAGGGCATCGTCCTAATATGCTGCAGGTCGTGGGCTCGATTCCCAGTCAGGTGACATACAAAAAGTGACCAATGAATGCATAAATAAGGGGAAAAACAAACTGATGTTTCTCTGTCTCTCTTTTCTTCTTTTCCCCTCCCCCCTTTCTCTAAAATCAATGAATAATTTTTTAAAAAGAAAAAAAACATCATATTCTAAAGAAACCTGTTACAACTAAGATTAAAGATCCACTTCTCATCCTATGATGGTTCACAAATCAAAGTTATTTCACAAAATACTGTCATCTTAGTGACTTTACTATGTAAAAAATTTAACACTCCCTATTAAAAGTTACAAGTTTAAACTGTGATTATAGCAGGAGATATATTAACTAATAAACATTGCATTAGAATTACTGCACATTTAAACTCTGGACTACAAAACCAGGTAAGAAAAAAATAATTCAAGTATTTGTATCAAGGAAAAGTTAAAATCTACACAAGTTCAACTTCTGTTTTGTATAACACAGAGCTTGATGTAATTTACATACATACAGTCTAAAAATAAATAAAATGTTCTGACAGCATTATGAAAAAGTTCATAAGCTGGTGATGCTTCCACTAGGGTCCAACTTAAAATTTACTGAAACAGCAAAACTTACCAGCATCATCAGATTCCTGAAACTGTGAATAATCAACGACCTTCCTATTTCTGTAGAAAGAAGAGATTCTAATTAAGATTATAAAAACGTAGGGTGTTTCTAAGATATTAGAACACATTTTTCATACGCAGAACTAGAACTAGCTCTTTGAAAATTTTTTTTTTCAGTAAGTCCCCACCTCTGCCAAACACCATTTTGTTACAGTAACATGCAGCTTAAACCAAGTGTTTCAAGCTACAATCCTCGTATTGCTCACCTCAGTGATCACTCAAATATTATTCCTTCCCACAAACAACCCCAAACACATATACATAAAACAGCAAAATGACGCAAACTACCTTCTTCTATCTTCACTATATAGAGATATCACATGTGTACAAACCAAAACTGTAAATGTTTTCTTACCGCTACATACACACATCTATGTACACTTGATAGACAAGTTATTACTGAGTTTTTTCCAAGATGAAGTGATTTTTTAAATATAATATAATTACATTATAATATATAAATAATGGTGACAGTAAGTTAAGCCTTACAAAGATGGGAAAGAAAAAAAACTGACCCACTCAAAAGATTCTTTTTATTGAAGGGTCTATAAATAAGAAAAATATGAAAATCTACTGAATTTATGTGTCTATTTGACTCAATGATGTTAAGTACTTCCTACTACATAAGGCATCTCTTTAACATCTCAAATAAACCTTAATTTCCATTTTCCTACTTTATATTCTAAAAACCTGAACGTTTAAAATTCCTCCTCCAAAAATACAGAATGGGGCAAAGTAGGTTTACAGTTGTGAGTATGCTGAACAGTTTGTTCTTATATTATTATTTATTGTATTCTTTTCCATACAAACAATAGTAAACCTACTTTTGCCCCACACTGTATAGAAGCTTTCACGTGGGAACCCAGACAGCCTGGCTCCCAAAGGAGCCTCACATGCACTGTGACTAAATGATACTGAACAAGTGAACTGAAAGGGTGAGGAGAAACATGCCACCAAGTACACTTAAACCAGAGCAGAGGGATATTCCCGGTTTTATAATAAAGATTAAGATACCACTTATTTTTTTATTTTTAATTTTTCAAAAGATTTTATTTATTTTTTGACAGAGGAGAAAGGAGAAAGAGAAGGAGAGAAACATCAATGTGTCGTTGCCTCTCACATACCCACTACTGGGGACCTGGCCCACAATTCAGGCATGTGCCCTGACTGGAAGTCAAACCGGCAACCCTTTGCTTTGCAGGCTCGTGCTCAATCCACTGAGCCCCACCAGCCAGAGCTAAGATACCATTTAAATTCAAAGACAGGATGATCAGAATTCAAGCACAGGTACAAATAACCTGTGTATAATACGCAAAATGATAGGTGTAGGAATGAATTCTAAGAACATATTTGGGGCTTAGATGTTGATGTTGAAGAACATATAGCCATATCCCATGCTTCAGAGAAAAAAGAAAGGTTTTTAAGGAATTTTTTCCTTCAGTTTTTCTTCAGTCTACCATCAATGAATTATCTTCTGAATTTACTACCTCAGTGAGTCAAGATGCAAAACTAAAAACTATGCTCTAACTACACCTGAGCCTTGAGCAAGATGGGTTTGAAATGCACAGGTCCACTTATTAGATTTTTTTCATCCTGTAAACAGATGAGACAAACTTACAGTATCAATAAATACAGTACTGTAAATGTATTTTCTCTTCCATACTATTTTCTTAGTAACAGTTTTCTGTAGCTTACTTTATTGTATTAATATAATATTATAATACATGTAACATACAAATGTGTTAATGAATTGCTTATGCTATTGGTAAGGCTTCCAGTCAACAGTGGACTAGTAGTTTTGTTATAAGTTGAGTTTATATGTCAAAGATACCATCATTCTATTAGAAAGGCTAATTTAAAAATATGACAGTATCACTTATATGCTGTACAGAGTAGTCAAGTTCACAGACAGAAAGCAGCACAGTAGGTGCCAGGAGCTGGGGTAGGGAGAAACGGCGAGTTAATGGCATATGCACTTTCAGTTTTGCAAGAGGAAGAGTGCTGGAGGTTGGGTGTACAAAAAAGTGAATGTATTTAACATTACTGAACTGTGCATTTAAAAATGGTTAGGATGTTAAATTTATTATTTTACCATAATTAAAAGGAAAAGGAAAATATCTTTCTTTCTAAAAAACAAACTATTTGGGGGGGAGGTGCTGGTAATCAAATGCCTACCATGTTCTACCAAAAGTGATTTTTAATGACAGATTGCCATAAGAAACAGTGTTATGATCATAATGCGAAGACGATGATTTTCGGCACTACTTAGGGTCACAGAGTATGGGATGTGGAACCAGCGGAAGGAAAGCATCCAGAATGGGGAGTTTAAAATCTTAATCACTAATAACTAATGTACAGTTTCTGAAATCGCAGCCATAATTATTCTGGCTTTCTGTGCTGGTGGGATCGCTACTCAAATATCAGTACAATTTCTGGGTACCATAAATCAAAAAAATACATTCAATGTTAAGGAGGGGAACTAGAATGGTAAAACGTAGTCATATGAAGAACAACCGAATAAACTGGATTTTTAACTTGAATAAGGGAAAACATGTCTGCTACTTTAGGGCTTTAAAACGAGTAGTAGTAAATGTCGCTGATCCAATTAAGTGCGGGTTCAACATAAAGAACTTTCTAGCAGTTTGACAAAGATAGTTACTTTCTTAGTGTATCACTAGGGAACACTCCAGAAAATAATCATACAGTAATAAGTACAGAATCTTTGTTAGTAAAAATCCTGAGTTCTGGTTCTAGAACATCAAAGCAAATCGCTTAATTTCTCTTGGCCTTAGGTCCTCCTCTGTTGAAACTGATTGCCTAAGTTGCTGACAGATCTAAGAAGTTATTCTATAAATTAAGTATTAAAATTTAATGGTAAACAATTCTTTTCCATTGCAAATGGTCAATTATTCTTTTGCCTACTACATATTTTAACATGTATTGCCATACCATTTTTTTCAAGAAAAGATTTTATTTATTTTGAGAGAGGTGAAGGGGGGACAAAGAGAGGGAGAGAAACATCACTATGTGGTTGACTCTTCCATACTCCCTACAGGGAACCTGGACTGTAACCTAGGCAGGTGCCCTGACTAGGAGTTGAACCAGTGGCCCTTTAGTTTGCAGGCTGGAGCTCAATCCACTGAGCCACACCAGCCAGAGCTCACTATACCATTTTTTTATTCACTAACCTGAGCCTTCTGAAAGTAATACCCACACCTTACCCCACGTTTCTGATACAGAGCAAGAAAAAAGCAGGCACTCAAATGTTTTCTGAACTTTTTGTTCTTAGGATCAAATTGAAGAGATCTGTTAGAAACCTAATTTTATGAGATATGTTAAAGGATAAAATCCCATCTCCTTAAAGTCTCATCTCTTGCCATTTAAAGCACCCCAGGAACTTTGTAATTCCTCCAATTACGTTGTTTCCTATTGGTTATGCTGCTCCTTGGCCCCAAATACTTTCATATCACTCCCCACTCATAACAGGTTCAACCTCACTTCAACACCTTTGATTCTTTTATACCGTGTAATTACTAAACATCTGTCTTCCCTAACAAAGGTGAACTTCTTGAGGACAGGGACTGTCTCTTCTTTATCTGGAACACTGAATTCAAGAGATGCATATTTAATGAGTGAATGATTTGGCCTCTGCAAAAGATTATGGTAGGAAAGGGTTATCAGCACAAAGGATGAGCGTGCCCTTGGAGTTTTCAGACTATCAGACATTTAGTTACCACCGTCCTTAAGAACAAAAGAAAATTTAGTTTCTGCCATATTAAATAACTCGTTACATTAAAAAATTAAAAAGGGAACTATGTAGTACATTTTTTCTTTTTTAAAAAAGATTTTTATTTATTTTTAGATATGGGGGCAGGGAGAAAGAGGAGAGAAACATCGATCAGCTGCCTCTTGCACGCTCACTGACTAGGGATCAAACTGAAACCTATATAAGTGCCCTGACCAGGAACTGAACCAGTGACCCCTGCTTTGTAGGAGGACACTCAACCAACTGAGCCAAACTGACCAGAACACAATACAGTTTCTCCTGTCCTAGTTTTCAGGTAGAACTACAAAAATAACATGTAGACTATACTGACATATACACAATTAAATTTAAATTTTTCAAACTCAAATTAGAAGACCACTCCTTCCTTTGAAACATTAAACATTTTAATTTTCAATGACATGAAAATGGCCAGAGTAAATGTAATTTTATCACAAAATTATAAAAACTGAGGAAGGCAAAACATGAATATAGAAGCAACCTTGTCTTACAGGTAACTAGCAAAAAAATGCAACCATCTATACATGCTAAAGAGAGAAGGGAAAAATAATTAAAATAAAAGATCTACGATAACAAGGTTCATCCACAATAAGCCTTATAATGATTTATAATAAGTTTTGTTTATTTCCTGCCCTTTAAAGCTGCTATTCCAAACAATATACTATTTCCACTACTTGGAGTTTACCTTATTTAGGGCTGAAACACATTTTGATGAACTTATTCCTATGTAAACTGGAAACTGACATGATATACTGGGATAGAAGCACAACCCTTAAGAGAAATATTTAAGTTTAAGAAGTTCTACTTCTAGCTGAAAACAAAGAAACATTCTTACTTCCTCAAAATACTATAAATTAAATGCCAAAGCTAAGCCAACTCTTCAGTGTAAAATGTGCATCGACAACTAGAACTGGGAGAAAAAATAAAATTTCAATATAGAATTATAGGTTAAAAACAGATTTTTAAATTGGTTTTAAATCCTGGCTCTGCCACTTACTAGTTGTATGTCCTTGAGCAAGTTACCTCCCCTCAATGAACTTCAGTTTTCTCACCTGTAAAATAGGAATAACAATACCTAACTCTCAAAATTGTTGTGAGTGCCAGGTACACAACCATCCAGTAAGTAGCAGCTATTATAACTTGTAAGCACTAATTTGTTCCACCCAGAATATCACTGCAATCTTGAACACTCTTAAGTAACACTCGTAATTACCTG